TCACACTGCGATAGAAAAAGCGTACTTCCTTTCTTGGATTCACATTCGACAGAAACAAAACGAGTATCATACCAGAACATTTACCTCAGTCTTGAAGGTGCGACCCAAAGAATTCCGCTATTTGTCCAAGTAAACTTTGGCGGTCATTGAAAGGCATCGTAAGACTCACCCAAGGATAACGCCGAGCGCTTGTATGTCCGCTCCAGTGTCGTGTAATCCACGTGCTGAATACCATATCTACACTCGTGGTAAGACTAGAGAATCTCTTAACCCAGAGCAATGACTACGCACCTCATGGATTTTCCAAGCATCCATTCTGCATTGTCAAGTATTGCTACAACGAGTCAGTGGCAATTTTTTATGTACAACTTCGCTGGAACTGACACCAAGTGAAAGCACCCTGGATCGGGACACCGTCTTCGTGGATGGATAGCAACATTTCACCGAGGTACGTGAGCAAGGAGTCTGAAAACAATACATGATTTGTCAATTAGTTAATCTAAAGTGTGACTCAATGCGCACTTGTTCGGAGCACATCCTCCTTTATTTGCGATATATCCGTGTTCGCGTAGGCGAAAGGCTCGATGAAGCCGAACTCGGAAACATACTGGCCGCCAAGAGTCAGGAATTACCACAATAAATTTGACACATACGCACAAGTTTATTACTTGGCCATCGAGAGTGGACGCCCTTCAGCAAAGCACGAATCGCTACCGGTGCCGCTTGAAGGGGCAGGGCTACCGGGTCGCCAACGGGACCCGCAGGCCAGCCGTAATCCGAGTCGAAATATGCAGGTTCGTTACAGACGGGCCACAAAGGGTGGGAAAGATTGGCCACACATGCGTCGATCCCTGTGTCCGGAGCCTTTACCCATAATGAGAAGTAGGTATCAATAGCAAAGAAATCCGCGGAGCCGAGAATATCAATCTTTTCCTGATCCGTGAAACGCGGGAGATACTCGGCTGAGAGAGTGTCTTTGACAATGTCGGGCCAATCGCCAGTTGTGTGTATAGGGTTTGAGAAGAGGCCGATTTCGAACGCTGCATGGCGTTCAACGGCAAGTGCGTCCTCAGTGGAGTTGCTTCTCCATGGCGTGCCTCTGTAGTATGTCCAGCGGATACTAGCAAGAGAAGGAGAGACATAGTCACATGTAATCACTGTTCTTGAAGCCGATCTCTCCAGATATGTTCATTGCGCGAAATGCTAGGGAGAAAACAGATAAGTCAGTGGCACTTCATGGCGGTACATTGACAAACCCTTCATAGCTCCTGCATGGGCCTTTACTATGATAGAGCATCAGGATGATGGGTGCTATGGGGCAGAAAGATGCAAAACGTACATAGATTGTACGCACAGTGATAAGGGGCGGTGGAGGAGTTTACACCAGGGGCAAGCGTGACGTCTAGTCTCAACAGTAAGCTTGTAAAGGTAGGTCTTGATGTAGAGAAAGTTTACCGAACGGATAGGTGGCAACCTGGCCACAATAAATCCTTGGCTCATTGAAAGTATACCTACAGTATTTGAGAGTAATTGAGCATGTATCCGGGGGCAAGAAACTACGGCCACCAACCAAGTCTTAACACGGCCATTGTATGCCTTGAACACAGTCTTGGCGTAGCTAAAAATTGTATGAGTACACAAACCGTCGTATCCTTCTAGCACCCACTTTACAAAGTCGTCGACTACTTCTGGCGACGTGAAACCTCCGTAGTAGGTCTGAATGGCGAGAGGAGTATCCGAATGGACTATTTCATAAGTATCCAACGCCGCCCACGAATACCGGGAAAATCTTACACAATGTCACAACGGGCTCCACACCATGAGCCAAATGGTAATCAATAACTGCGGTAGAAACGATCAGCGTCACTTACGATACTGTTAGGACGAAACTGTACCATCAGAATAATGATCAATACCAGCCGTATTAACGGGAGAATCGGCGACAGCAAACGGGTAGATCCTCGGCCACGAAATCCTAATAAGTCTTGTTCAGATAAGTCCAGTCAATGAGGTCCTAGCACGTACGAGAAAGAATGCGCAGTAACGCCAAGAGCAACAATGCGCTGGATGTCTTCTTTGTACAGGAAGTAGTGAAGATCGGTGACGTCAGCTGCAATAATCTCGGTCGCATGATGATCATCGTTTGGGTACCACGCATACTCACCAGTCGTGTTATCGTATACGCCATTTGGCTGTCTGGAAGCCCAGTCCCACATTGTCGGACCCTTTCCTTCATTCTTCGTTGCACCCTCGACTTGGTACGCGGAAGTAGCGACTCCGAATTTGAAGCCCTTCGGGAATTTCACGCCTGGTAGGACATCCTTCGGGGCGGGAGCATAGAAGGATGGATACAACGGTGGAGGCGTGGGCGGTAGGGTCACCGCAGCGCTGGGTACACGGGTAGTGGTGAACGGAGGCGCCTCGACAGGTCCGATCTGTAGAGTTGAGAATGCCACGTTCTAGAGGAGATCAGTGAGAATACGAACGATGTCCCAAAGTCGTTCCAGTCCTTCCGACGTGTAATCACGAGGGATTGATCCGATTGGAGGAAAGCTAGCCGTACCCGTTGGGATACTTGTGGGAATCGTTGTACCAGTGGTGGTGGATACTACCGAAGAGCTAGTTCTTGTACTATCCGACTGTGCGAGTACTACAGAAAGACCGCTCCATCTGATGGGGAAGGTGAATGAGAGTAACAGTACCCCAAGAAACATCTTGGAGGAAGAGGATCCAAGAACACTGGGAGCAGCTGTAAGGTATCGTGCCGTATATATAGCCTCTTCACGTAGACATATGCATATGGAGCCACATGTCTTTCTTTTGTCCATCACTCTCGCTCTCGGACTCGGACTGCTAAGCATTGTGACAGCATGGCACTTCTTTTCGGCACTGGGTCATGGGCAAGGATGCAGACGGCGATAGCTTTCCCAGATTATCGTGGTAATATCCTGCATGAAACCTCTCGGTCATGATACAGCTACTGCCTGAACCGAGATGAGTTCCATTCCGTATAGGTCCTTGACACACGTAACAGAGTTGTTTTCTTCTTTTCTAGTACGTCTCTACGTTCCCTAAAGTGTAATCCTACCGACCAGTCCTTTTTTATGACGCGTCGCTATCCAGCGACTTACAGTATGTGCCGACATTACCAGTACAGTGAAGAGACTTGAACCATGGTGAAACGGTGCGGGGAAGGAGAAGATGCGATTTCAGCCATGGCCGCAAGAGTCGACTGTAAGGCGAGACAGACTTGCCAAACAACATGTCTGTTTCCCCGACTCGGACACGGTCGCGAGATAGCAACAGTCTAACACGATTCGTGGGGGAGGCAAACATGTCACAAGATGGGACATATAGGTGCTAGGAACAAGCGTAATAAGCAGAGGCATAAGACTATTAACCCGAAGTCAGGACAGTACAAGTGGGAGAGACCATGTCTGCAAGAAGAGTCGCGTATGGATCTTCCAGCAGGAAATATTTTTCTTGCCAAGCCTCTGGGTACGCCCGCGCCACGGTTTGGTCATTGTGCGATAAAAAAGGCGTGATGTTTTTTTTATAGAGAAGTTTGGTGCAAAGATAAGTTCTCTCGGAATACACTTCGACACTATAAACGGCCTCGCGCGTAGGGCTCGTCAGGTAGTCAGCCCATCGCAAGTGGGGGAGGTTCGGCCGAGACTCACAGTTGTAGATAAGACAAAGTTGGTTGAACTTGAACAGGACCCCTGATTATTCCGGCTGAGCTTCGCTGAAAAGTCTGGACAAATCCTGCACCTTGAAGCTGCTGGAAGGTGTGCACCTAAGTCCGGGCAAAGGGTGTCCTCGAGGCGATATGTCAGAACTTTCAATCCGGACAATAGCAGGCAGATCGGACGGGTTAGTCGTACAATAGTCCAGACAAACCCACTCGCAGAGGTGGCAACTTCGTTGACATTGCAGCTTCTTGTATTTCTCTGTCACAGTCGCACCCAAATATACCCGTATAGACGGCAAAGAAAGGTTTGTGAAACCAATTTTGGTGGATTTTGGGACAAGTTTTGCAGGTTGGTCGGAAGGTCCAGACAAATTTCAGGACCCGGGTTCCAAGTGTGGCTCAACCAACCTCAACACGATCACATGCTCGGAATGCTTAGTAAGGCGCACGCTTTGTGATCACCTAAGCCCGATCCGAACCGAGCGCAACACACTATCGTCGCTTCCCCCATGTTGGTATGAAAAGTAGCTATCACACGTATCCGAGGCCTTCTTATGGAGTCCTGACTTAGATCCAAGGAAGCGTTCATCATTGCTATCAATGACGAGTGCAGATGGAAGAAGACCTTGTGCAGATGGAACCCTGAACACATAACACAACGAAAGGTCCTTTCTCGTTGCAGCGGATGCTTTATCAAGGTAGAGCAGTGGTGGCCGCACTACTCGAAAAAAGGTAAGTCTATGCGAACTGCCAATCCTAGCTTTTGCGTGCAGCTATTTGCAACGTGCACAGACGCCCAGGTCAAATCTGAACGAACTTACGATACGGCGGAATTTTTTCAAATAATGCATGCCGTTGCTAGGAGTGGAGGTGTTGGAACCCGGAGGTCGCTTTTCATATAACAGTGTCAGTGAGTGCTTTATCTTTCATTTGCAAAGTGCACGCGTACTTCGTTCACACCCCCAATAGTAGACAAGCCGTGAGTAGGGAGCCGTAGTGTTTCCGAACGGTTGTCTATCTCAACTTGTGGGTCGGCGATTGCAGCAGTGCATGTACCATATGCAGGTTCTACCTCCTCAGCCACTGGCGCCGGCAATCTCTGATACTCGGCGTCGCATAATCTTCATTTGAACAAATGGCGATACTTCTCTAGACATACAATTCGTTCAACAGCTTTCAGGGCCGTCAGTTCTTTGGCGAGCGAGCCTTACTCCGGGCTTACTTTTCAGGGGGCTGATGTGCGGATGGGTAAGCACTTGCTTTCAGTCTACTCAATGGAGACATGGAAACGACAGCCACATAGTGTGGAGGCGCTATGGTGTAGTGGTAGCACATGGGATTCTGATAAAACTATCACCGTGCCATTCCCATAACCCAGGTTCGAACCCTGGTAGTGCCTGTTGACTGTTCTTGATATGAAATATTGCTAATGCTCACTGTCATTTTTACACAACACATGCTTGGTCAATAGGGCTACCCACGAAACCTCCGGGGGGGGGTTACGATACCGTTTTGTACCCACCTTCCCTCAGGGGTTTCTTACCGATACGGTTACTTACTGGTCACATGACCGCCGCGGAGCAATTTTTCAAACCCTTCTGTGCAACACTGTGTTGTGGTTTTCCGTTCAATACACTGGGTATTTCACGTCCGAAAATCCGCAAAGAAGGGAGCTTTCGGAGAGATTTCGGAGAGACTAAATATAGGTAGCGCATCATTGTTTGTCATTGTTTGAATTAGATGCCGACGCCACTACTCATCTATAATTTGACACATTTTTGTGAACACAAGATGCTCTAAAATTTTCGGGCCCTCCGGGCATGTTGAGATTCGGGCAAGCCGGCATCACTCGGCATGATTAGTAAGTATAGAAATTGTATGAAAGATGGAGAAGATACTAGATTAGGTAGTAGCTAGTATATATATCTGTGAATAACAGGCAGACTCCTTGCGAGTTTGTAACCCATAGCCAGGGAAGCTACAGAGCATATACTCAGTAATTCCAACAGGGCATAAATTTGAATTTCCACCTTTTTGTGAATTGTAGTGATCCAGTTGCTACTGACTGGAGTATAAATTTCCAGCCCAATGCAGTCCACTGCTGTGGTGTTTCATCAGTGCTCACTGTCACAGTGAGAGCATTCAACATTGACTGGCTGGCTAACTGCAGTAGAGAGCAGGAAGAAAGCCAGTGCAACAAATACCAGTTGCAAAATGAATGGCACCACACCTCCAAACAGGAATTTCTGGCCTAATTTGAACTCAGTTAAGACTCCAGTTGCTAGCAGTTGCTATCAGTAGTGACCCCCAAGCATAAGTAGCCAGCTGTGTCAGGTCCCAAGCATGGGTATCCAGCTGTGTCAGTAGCTTTAGCATGTTTGAGACAAATTTTGAGGCTAACAAATGAAATGTATCCCATCTGTTAAATGAATCCACTACTGAACAGCAGTTCTGCCACTTGATGTGGTTGTGTCTTGGGCATCAGAAAGGTGCAGAGAGTGCCATCTCTTGGCACCCTCTTTAATTTGTGTCTCTGTCACTCAAAGCTTACCTTAGAATTTGCAGGTGGTGTGGTGGTGTTACCAACACCAGGTCCCAATAAGGAACAGCTGGGTCCACAGCCCTGACATGGCATACCATGTGCTGTGGCCACAAAGGCTCATGCTGTCTCAATCACACTGTTGAGTGTGTATCATGGGTTAGAGTATCTTCATGGGGTTCCCAACCAGTATAAGAGAATGACAATGATATCATTACACTAACAAGACAGGGACTTCCTTAAATACATGAAAAATATCCAAAACAAATTTAGCAAAGCAACAAAGAATCGTTGGATCATTGGCATGGAAATAAGTCTTCTGAAACCTCCCTCCTTTCCCTTTTCTTCTTCTCTCCTTTTTCTTTTTCTTTTTAATTTATTTTTATTTTTATTCCAGACCAACCCACAAGCATGAGTAGCAAGCCCTGACACTCACCAATGAAGCTTGGTGCCTTTTACTGTGCACATTGTCCCTCTGTCAACACATCTACACCCTGACAACTGCCCACAAGTAATACATGGGACTAAGCATGGCTTAGGACACAACAAAATGTTGTTCATACCCGGACATCCCTCAACTGCACAGCAATGACATGTGCCATGAAGTCTCTGGACATGGTCAGACCTAACCAGGATCTGTCTTCTTTTTGGTGCATGGCTTGTACTTGAGAGCCTTCTATGTCCATCCTTGCAGCAATAGCCTGAGAAACCTTGTTGTCAGTATTCCCTATTGGCACTAGATCCCTATATAATATGGTTAGCTTACATTATTATCAAAGCTGTTTAACAAGAAAGGATAACATATCAGAGTACAATTCCAGCTGTGTGTCATCATCCACTCTAGGAGGTATGTGATTTGAGTCTATATCCATTGAAGAGCTTGGCACAATATCCAGTCATGATATAGAGGCTGACTTGAACATGCTTAATGGCTCTGAACTCATGAATAGTTGAATTTCTGGAACCACCAATGAGACTGAAAGATTTGTCAAGAGGGATGGAGGCACTACAAGCAAGCTTGAATTATTAAGCTCAATAATACCAGCCTGAGGGTAGGTATGCAATTATTTTTGTTAATAGACAGCTAACTCAGTCTCCACTCGATGGGTGAAAAAGACTGAGGTAGGATGGAAATGAAAAATATTGAATATACCATTGTGATCACGCTATTGAATACACCTATGAATAGGTAGTCCAAAAACCTTGATAGAGAGTGTTGACTGATCCTCTCAACAATTTTTCCAACAAAATTCTGGAAACAGAAGGTGCGGGGCTGTAAAGACATCGGCAGTGGCAAAACAAACCTTGAAATAGCCATTAAGACATGTTATCCAGGTTTAGAGACCAGTAGAAATTTACCTGATCAAAGATTATAGTGATATAAGCTAATTACATTAATAGGATGCAAAAAAACAGGTGAGAAAGGTGCTGTAGAAGGATGAGAATGAGAGCGGCAGCTAAGTCATCGAAAATGGCAGATAAGGCTGCTGACTCAGCATACCAACTTACCTGCCGTTTGCTCTAATCCACTTTCCACGCAACGAATATATTTTGAATGATGTTCAATATATATATAATACATCTTTGTTGTCTAGCACACAAATTATCCGGAAAACAGGCATGCTTTGAATGAATGGGAAGCCAAAAGCCATCCTGCCAAATGCGGCATGGCAGCTAAGTGCACAGCATGGCAGCTAAGTGCACAGCATTGGCAGCTAAGTGTACAGCATTGGCAGCTAAGTGACCGTGGGAACCCAGTGTATTGGACGGTAAACCTGTGTTGTCGCATCGTCGTAGCTCAAATCCTAATGAATTTTGTCCTGGCACCAATAAGAATTCTCTGGCTACATCTTCTTACATCTTTAAACTCATCTGAGTCTGTGATCTCTTCTACCTAATCCAAAATCAAACAGGTTGCGAGTCACGACTGCTCACCAAACATTTGGCGGAACAGTCTCATGAGGGTGGTAAGTTACCTGAACAAAAAACCCTTCCACCGACTTGTGGTATCTTATCAGTAAGAAACCGGTAACTCACCGGTCCGAAACCGGAGTGTATCAAAACTGGAGGTTTCGTGCGTAACCCTATTAGTCAACGCCGAACGACGATGCTGGAGCTTCTCCACTCCCACCAGCCGGAGTCCTCAGAGTGATGTACATGTTCTGGTTTGTGCCAAGGAATCCTGGAAGCTTTTCTCACGCTGATATTTTCTTTTTGGAGATGCATGATATGAAACTGTCACTGGTACATTCTACAGAAACCAGACAAGTTTCTTCCGAGAATGCTTCAAGAATTTACATGTTTACCAAATACTGAAACTCACTCATTCTCTCATCCTAGAATCATCAACTGGCCCGTGGCTCGTCTCACACCCAAAGCAAATGCACCTGCTTCAGCTTTGGCGACTCGCGAGTCTTGAGCTGAGAATCCACATTGGCCCGAACAGTGTGCCAGGTGAGAACCGTGGATGGCAATCTCTTGGGCAGTTCGAATGCGACTCCGAGTGCGATGGATTTGCAAGGCGGCAAGAAATTCGGAATATCAAGTTTTAGTGTAGAGTATCTGAATGAAAGCGAGTCGAGCATTTGCCACGTATTTTGTCTTTTAAACAACCGTACACTCACCTTACGCCTCCATTCGTAGCCTACCATTACATTGACAGGTCCCCGACAGTCGCTGCGAGCTCAAGGATGAAGAAGTCACCCACTGGCCACTCCCTATGATCATCACTCGTACTATGGTCCTATGACCAAAAGAATGAATACATTTGACAAAGTGAGAATCCCACTTTGGGCTCAACACTCAAACAGACGCGCCAGGCCGGCACGATGGTTAGAAGTCCGAGCACATGTCCGAATGCGAGTCCGAAAGCGATGAAGTCACGATAAAATTGAATATCAGTGAGGCGGGGTCAAATCATCTATGTTCAGGCGTCATTCTCAGGGATTTGTGCATGTTCTTCTTCCTCCTGTTATTCTTTCAAAATACAGATCAGAAACCCAATGCTCTACCTCTTTCTTCTCCTCGTGTCGACCCAAACACTTGCAGCAATCGACCGATACACGTTAGTGTCCCGGTACAATCCCTCCCGCAATGCATCCAGCCTCACTACGCCAATGCAAGTAGGAAATGGAAACTTCGCTTTCGGTGCTGATGTGACAGGTCTCCAAACATTCCAGCCATTCGCCATCATGTCTTCCTGGGGGTGGAAAAACGACAGTTTGCCTCAAGGTAAAACGATGGACGATGTGAACAATTACCATGGTGCAAGCTGGTATAATCACGGACGACTTGTCGAGTATGATTTTGGGGGCAACGATGAGCTGATCGAGCAGTGGCTCACTGCGAATCCCAACCGCGTTAATCTGGGACGGGTGGGGCTAGTGTTCCGGTCTGCTGAGGGAGAGGTACTCAACATGACGGAGAGTAATTTGACAGATATTCATCAGGAGCTCGACCTCTGGACAGGAACAATTACAAGCGAATTCTCTTGTGGAGGAGAGCCAATTACTGTGACAACGACATGCGCACAGGATCGAGACACCATTAGGGTCAGTATCGAGTCCACACTACTGAGCAATGGCCAGCTGGGCATGTTCGTAGACTACCCATGGAATGATGGTTCGGCTATGTTCAGCGCACCGTTTGTTGGAAATTGGGACGCCCCTGCCAACCATACAACTTCGATCAGTACTGATGAGAATGGCCACAGCGCAGAGATCACCCATATACTCGACGAAGCCTCGTTCACCACTTCTTTTGACAGCGATGCCTTCACCATATCTCGTGATTCTCCCGATGCTCATCGTTACACCATCCTACCCAGAGACTCTACGGTGACATTCCGAATCGCAGCCACA